AAAAAATAATGAAGTTGTAATTTTAGCATTCAGTTTATATTCCACATTATCAAGGTTTTTCCTTTGTAAATAAATATTATTTTAATTATAAATATTGTTAGTTTTTAATTTTTTAGCGTTGTAGAAGATGATGAGGAACAATATTTGTCTACAATTGAGTCAATAGCATTTGAACTAATTTTTTCTGAAAATTCTAGTATTGCAAGATTTACTGCTAAATATTTTATGGATGCAATGGTTAATTCCCAAACAGATAAATTTGAACAATTAAAAGTCGTACTTTTAATTTTACGTGGTATTCCTTCAGAAATGACAACTGTTGCAATTTCATTTTTCACAAATGCTATTTATGATTTTTGCCCCCTACTTACTGATTTTAAACTGATATCTCAAGTATTATCTTTAGAAAATTCTATAGAAGACAGAGATAAACACAATTTAATGCATGTATTAATGTATGTTGTTAAATGGTTAGTTACTGGCATTGAACCTGAACACAAAATTGCTATTATGGGAGATCAAAATGATGTAAGATTAAATAGAAAAACTAAAGTAATATATATATTTTTTTTTTCAGTAATACTTTTAAATTAAATAATATTTATTAATTTGTAAGTGTTTTTATTTTTAAGATTTTTAATGTTGTGTATATATTGACAAATATTTTAAATTCTATACTTTTACTAAGTGTTGGTATGAATAAATTGATTTAAACCATTATGATTTTTATTTTTAGATAGTGCAGTCACATACTAATAAATTAAAAAAAAAAGAATTCACAAGTTATTTATCAATGCATTTAATAAATGAGCTTAAGAATTGTAAAGAACCTACTTATGCATTTTCAATTTGGACTTTAATTCAATTCATTGATTTTAAATTACTTCAAGATAAAATGGTATAAAGTACTTATCTAGATAACTATTACCACATTACACTAAAAATAATTTATTATTTAATATAGATATTATCAGAAATATTCTTACATGCATCTTTATTTTACAATGCTTGGAGTATTCCTACTCTTTTAGAAATTATATCAAAATTCATTAACATAATATCAGATATAGATGGTTTTGAACAAAACTTAAGTTTGAAATGTATTAAAGATATTGCGGAAATCAATTTTAATATTTTAAGAACTGGAGTTGAAGCCTCGCCAGGAGATGTAATATTTTAAAATTAATACTAAAGTTTTAAATAATAATGGTATTGTAGTTAATTTCTATGATTATAAAGAATTTATAAAATCAATTATTCAAACATTATAATTTAAATGTAAAATTATAGTACAATTTATCAACATCAGTATTTTTTTCAGATACCCAGCTTATTGAGTCAAAAAAGTGCATTGATTAAAATTTGGACCTTGGCAAAATATAATTCTATACCTGATGACATAGAACCTTTAAAATATCTGTCCTATTATATACCTGATTTAAATAATACACATAATGATTTAATTATTTCTGTAAGATATTTAAAATACTACATAAAACATTTTAAAGTAGTTTTATCAATTATTTTCAGAATTTTGCTTTAATGGCGTACATGGAGATATTGAGAAATAAGTTATTAAAGGTTCCTATTGTACAAAATATGAATTTAAATAATCAGGTTTTTGAAAATAATGTTGAAGATACGTTTGCCACATTTATAGGTTCCATGTTTAATATTTTGAGTAAATATGACATTCAGCTCATAAGTATTTGTGAGACGGTAATACTAATTTATTATAAACTATATGATATTTTTCATAATGAATGTTGATAAAATATTTTTAAATTTTTAGGCATTTTTAATTATTAATGAATTATTACAAATTAAATTTTCTATATACCAAAAAAAATATGAACTTGATGATAACCAAAATATGATGTTAACTCATTTTGTTTTATGTGTATGCAAAAACTGTGGTTTGTATTAACATTAAGAGGTTTATTAATAATTTAAGTATAAAATTGTTACTTTGTTTTATTTTAGAAGGTAATAATGATTTAAATACTTTAAAAATAGTAAAAGTATATATACAGCTCATACAGGAAGGACTTATTAATATGAACCATTTAATAAATCTATTGCAGTTTGTAAAAATGGTATATTATATTATTAAATTTTAGATACTATCAATTAGATAGATAAATCAATTAAATTTATTATAGTTATACCATTTTAATTCTTAAGGAATTGTTTGAACATGCGCTTCGACCATTATTTAATTTTTTTTGCAAAAAAGAAACTGGAAATGAATTAAGTAATGTAATAAATTTATACTTGGTGTATACATTTGAAAACATAATTTTACAAAAACCTGATTTCAAAAATTCAACTATTAAAGATGTTGTAAGTAGTCTATGTGTATTATACATTTTAAACTATTTTTCTAATTATTATTATAATTTTTTTTTTTTAATTATTACAATAGATGTTATTTAGTTATTTCTTAACTTTGAAAGCTTCATTTGTTTTATAAATCTTTTCTAATTAATACTCATATAGTGAATTCATTTTTTTTTTTTTTTTTGCTAAGATAAATGTGGCTGTTATAATTTCTCGCCTTTTGTGTCAATGTACGGATCAAAGTGGAAAAAGATTAATTGCTACAAATATTCATCGACGTGGTATCCAGTATGCTATGAGTGATACATTAAATAACCCTTATAGTGATTATCCATTCAAACAATTTTTCTGGATTCTTACATCCATGTATCAAATCCTAATTCCATATGACGCTCAACGTTTGTAAGTAAAACAAAAATATTATTTACTTTTTTTATTATATTAACTTATTTTATATTTATTAAATTTAAATAATTATTATGTGATTCTTTTACATATTTAATATAATAATTAAAATGTTTAAACAATCTATTTTGTTTAGGGCTGATCATTTACTTGATAAACCTACAACACAAAAATTAATTAATTCTGAAAATGAACATATACTCAATTATTTATATAAATTACAAGAAGTATATAATACAGATGAAAATTGAATTTTCTGTAAGCTTATGGTGTTTAAATTTAATAAATTTAAATATACACTATATTACATACTATCAATATTAATTATTAATATGTTAAATTTCATCCAAAATAATAAATATTACTGAAAACGGTGAGAACCAAATTAAATATTGATTATGTATATTATATAATTAATATTGAAATAAAAGTAGGTATGTTAGTATAATAGTGTGCTAAAGGTGGCACGTTGAACAAATTTTAATGGCACGAGCAAAAAATTAAAATTATTAAAAATTGTACACAAAAAAATTATACTATTTATAAAATATTGGTTATAAAAAATTCAAAGAAACAAATTATATATTTTTATTATTTTTTTACTTTATTTATATTATTATTTATATTTATGTATTTTAAAAATGACAATATTCCTTATGCTTTCATATTTTTTGTCAACTTGTTTGTGAAAGCCATAATAAATTAAATTAAATCGAAGGAAATACATTGTTTGACTAATGAAACGATTGCTGCTTGTGTTTCACTAAAATTGACTAAAATTTAATAAAAATAATGTAATAAATTTGTAATTTTATTTTTATAATATATAATTTTCTTTGGACACATGAACGATTTTCAAATCCTTAATTGGGTAAATTTGGCACTTGAACCAAAAAAGATTCGCCACCCATGACTTAGAGAAAAGAGGAGTATCAGAACGTCAAAAAAAACTCTAGATTGTTAACATTTTAATTTCATTTCTAAAATTATTTATTGTTTTTCGCTGCAACTCGTTTGCGGCGCACATTAAAAATTACTTACCTAAAAATCGACGACTCGTTTGTGCACAATGACACGTTCAACACATGACACATGTTTACATACATCGTCACAGACTGCAGTACAAATTATCAAATATATTATCTTATAATCGACTGTGTAGACTGTATATTATATAAATTTGGATTTTCAAAACAACTTTTAGTAAAGTTTCAGTAGATATAGAAGATACAGTGGTGACTAGTGTGTTGACGACGTAAACTTTAATATGGCGTAGAAATTTTTATTACTTTTGAATCTCGATGAAGAAAACGATGTTTTAATATTGATAATTATAAATTTAGTGAATACCGTGTTTTAATGAGTGGATGTTCAAATTTTAGATGCACTAATAAAAAATGTCCTGCTAGTATTATTGTTAATAAATGAGGAGTATAATAAGCAAACGAGTTCTGGCACTAGGGATTTTTGTCACAGGTAACCAAAATGTATGTGCGCAAACGAGTTGTAGTCATTGTTTCTGCACTATATAGTAAATAAATATATCTGTATATTGTTATTGATTTCTTCAAAAAGATAATAGGCACCATTGAACAGGTTTGTGGGGCGGGCATGTGTTTATGATTTACAATATAATAATTAAGTAGACATTCATAATAATACAATTAACAAAACAATTTTAGAGTTTTAGGCTTATAAAGTATTTATTTTTTTTTATTGATTAGAACTTAACAAATATATTATACTCGTACATCAATTTTTATTTAATCAACATATTGAAATAATGTTTCTTAATTATTTTACTTCTCAGAATCACTTTCAAGTTCACTTGCACATTATCACTTGAATGAAAATCCCTGTATAACAGCTGTGACTTGTGATTAAATTTATATTCAAGAAAGCAGACATATTTAAAAGTAATAAAATATTGAGAAATACAGAATATATTGTCAACCCCACGATGAACAGTGGCTAAGTATTCGTGTAGATACCTACTTCTGAAATTTAGGTTTTATGACACTACTGCTTCGTCTGTCTTTTTTTGTAGTAAAGAAACATCTGATTCAGAGGTATCAACATTGACAACATCATCTAATTGTTTAACTTTTTTTGGTACTTGTCTGTTACTGTCTGTCTTGTTAACCCTAATACCGCGACTACTCAATTCTGTTATCTCGACTACCACACCAAACGTATTTGGGGCTCCGCTTAATGGAGAAATAAAAAGTATATGGGAACCAGACGCCATCATTTGGAGTCTTATCTGGCGGAGTTTATCTGGAGACATAACATTGAAGGGGAACCATTCGATAACATATTGAAAAAATATTTTTGAAAATTGGTCACCAAAAATAGAATTTTTGACTTATGCAATTGAGATAATTTTTTTTTTTTTTGTTTTATATTATAATAACTTTCCACTGCTGTGATAATTTTAGAATTTTTTATTTGACGTTTTGTGATAATTTTGATGATTTTATGTTATATACACGATTTAAGATACCTAGTACTATCTTAAATCGTGGTTTTATACTATAACCATTGATTATAGAATAGAATCTATTCTATAATCAATGCTATAACTCTCCACTAGTGTGATAATTTATGTGATTACTGATAATAAACGTTATACTAATATACATTATAATATAAATGGCAATTCATGACGTGTATTATGTATTAAAATACGGAACTATCTAGATAGTACTAGCATTGATTATAGAATAGATAGATAGTCAACGCAATGTTAATATTTGGCGACTACTCGTAAGATGCAACCGCTATGGAGCGCTGGCGTCGCTGTGATGCAAGGAGG